AACCCTTCTTTCATCACGCTATTGCACACTTCATAGACGGCAGCAGCAAGCCAGCATAACTTCTCCGCACACTAGGAACCCTAAAATTCAGGGAACTGGCTTTATTGCAATGCTCACTTTATGTGATAGACTATATGGTAGTCTGGAATCGAGCCTCCAATATCTTCAAGGGGTGCTTGTTTGCACACACACACGTGCATGTACACACACACACACACACACACACACACACACAAGCATCTCTATTTCATTCACCAAGGGCTCGTGTGGAAGACAAGCCACAGCGTGGTGGTCGCAGCATCTTTCTTTGCCACCAACAGAGATGACAAATATCTTCATGTCACAACCAGCAAAGGGTCTTCTGTTCTGACCAAGTCCACCAAAGCCACTCCTCCTTTCATCTCCATCTCTATCTCAGCTCCATCCCCGTCTCCTGCCTCCTCCAGCCTCCCCACCCCTCCCTCCTTCTTCACATTCCACCCACAAAGCTCTTCCATGCCTCAGACATACCAAACTTACCCTGTTCCCACTGCCTGGAACACTCTTCCTCCAGAACTTTCTGGAGCTTTACACCCTGCTCCCGTTTAGCTCTCAGAGAAAATCTCAGCTCCTTAAGAGAGATTTTCCTGGCCCACCAGCACTGTGCACCCTCCCTTTGCCAGCCCGCTGAGCCTGTCCACAACGCTAGTGCCCCTCACTGGAAATGCTAGAGGGCATGGGTTATCTATTGGGTTGACAGCATCGTTCCTGGAACAGAAGCACTGTGAGAGCTGGGACCCTGTATGCTGTACGTACCCCATATTCCCCGCCATCTGCCCCAGGTGGTCACACAAATATTATGTGAAATAACAAAGCTTTTGAGCCAGGTCCTGTTGTAAAGTCTTGCGCACAAATGGCTAAAAAGGCCGATGACTATCGTTCTGCTCGCGCCTCTGGTGAGCCCGTCTCCTTGTTGCCTGGAAACGCACCGCCTGTGTTCGTTTTTTGATTCTAACCTTTTTTGAAAGATAACGTGTGTTTTTTTTTTATTTTATCTGCATGTACAGAGCCGGGCTTTTGAGTTGTGAGGACTGTGGCTGAATGGTGGGCTGCAGCCACGAACTCCGTGCCACCCACAGAAAGAATCTCTACACTCAAGTTCAGTAATTGGGTGGAAGGCCGATGAGATGAGCCATGAAAGGGAGAGGAAGGGCACGGTGGGGAGAAAAGGAACTTGTGCTTTCAGGGGGAAAAGAAGAAAGTGGAAATAAAGGAGCAGGCCTGTTAGTTAGCATTTTGAGACCCCGGAGAGGACAGTTAAAAGGCTGGGCCGATTATAAAGATGGCGCGGACACGTTCTCTGGAGATGCGCTCTGCTTTTGAGACTGTCCATTCAGAGATGAGCTTTTTGAAGCTTTTTGCCACCACTGCTCTACTAGGGACGGAAAGCTTAGATCCAAAAAACGACCCTGTGCTACCGGCACCAGCGTTTCCATCCGTGCAACGTTCTTTCTCTCCATTCACCTGAGAGCGACAAATCCAGAGCACAGGGAGGAAAGGTCTCCTGAAAACGGGTCACTCCAGGAGACAAGAGCGACACCCCAAAACCCCAGTGACAGCAAGCGATAGCTCCCCCTCCAGACCCTCTCCTTCCGCACTTTACGTGCAGTTGTTGTCAGATGCTCTATAATCAGCTGCAATTCAGTGACCCCGTGCACTGAACAAAACGTTCCCCGCCCTGCGCAATCATCACAATCGTTGTGCTGGAGCCCACAGTTGCTGCCCCCGCACCAGTTCATCTCATGAAAGGTCTTCCTCCTCTTCACTGGACCTCTGTTTACCAAGCATGATGCTCCCCTCTCCAGGGATCAAATGTTCCAATGTTGTTAGGTGTCGCTGAGTTAAGTACAACTCACAGCAACCCCATGAGTAAAAGATCTGAACCCTGTCTATCCTGTGCCGTCCTTACCACCTCTGACACTCGTGAGCCCGTCGCTGCTGTTGCTATTTCAATCCATCTCATTAAAGGTCTCCCTCTCCTCTGCTGGCCCTCCACCTTTCCCAGCACGCTGTCCCTCTCCAAGAAATAGCCTCTCCTAGCAACATGAACAAAGTCAAAACCAGCTTTACCTCTAATGAGCACTCTGGCTGCACTATTGCCCAGACATATCTGTTTGTTCTTTTGGAAGACCATGGGATATGCAGTGTTCTTTTCCAACACCACATCTCAAAAGCATCAACTCTTCTATCATCTTTATTCATTGCCCAACTCTCATATTGATTTTGTTGTTAAGTGCCAACCCTATGAACAAAAGGCCTGAGCACTGTTCATAGAGTTTCCGGAGGCAAGCCATTTCAGAAGTCAATGCCACTCCTGCTTCCAGGCTTGTTTTAATCGGGAAGCTCCAGCAAACACTATCCACCATGGTTAACCATTATTACATTTGGCACATCAGTGTCACAGTGTTTAGCATTACAGCAACCTCGAGTTATGTAGTAGTGATTAAAAAAATTGTCTTAATCAGGTGCACCTTAGTCTCAAAACTGGCATCCTTGCTCCTCCTTAATTTTGAGAAGTCCCTGACAGCACACTTTCCCAATGCTATATGTCTCCTGATCGGACTGCCGGTGCCAAGGGTGTTGGCTGTGGATCCAAGCAAGATGAAATTATTGACAATTTCAATCTTCTCTCCATCTCCATGTCCCAATAATGTCTAAGATGTGTGATTTGAAGTCTCATCATCGTCCCTTCTAGGGCGTATTCTCCTTAGAAGGTGCAATGATTTTATTTCATCTTCTGACTGTACTTCCTCTAAGCCAGATGTGTTCTCTTCCTGGCAGTCCACATTCTTCATTAAAAACAAAAGCCAAAGACATAAAGTCTTAGATTTCCTTATTCCTTACCCAACTTTCACATGCTTAGGAGGCAAGTGAAAAAACTATGATTTAAGACAGACACATCTTAGTTTTTAAGTTAATATCTTCACTTTTGAACATTTTAAAGAGACCTTTGGCAGCAAATTTGCTGACTATGTAACAAATCATTTGATTTTTTTTCCCCCCATGATGTCTCGGGAAGCATTGATTATATATCCAAGGAACATAAAGTCCTTGACATTTCTTTTAATCGTCAGTTTATCATGATGTTGCTTATTAGTCCAGTTGTGAGGATTTTTTGTCTTCATCATATTAAAGAATCGTCAATACTACAAACATACAATAGTATTTAAACTTCATCATTAAGGGGTCCAGGTAATCTTCACTTTCAGGAAGCAAGGTTGTGTCATCTGCATGACACAGGGTTATTAATGAGTTACCCTCCAATCCTAATATCACGATCTATTTCATATAGCCCAGCTTTTCTAATTAGTTGTTCAGCATACAAATTGAGTATGATGAAAATATATAACCTCAATACACACTTTCCCTTATTTTAAATCATGCAGCAATTCCTTATTAACACAATTGCTTCTTGGTCTTTGTATAGGCTCTGCATGAGGACAACTAACTGTTCTTGAATTCTCATTCTTCTCAACTGTATCTATAATTTCATATGATCCACACACTTTCTTCTTTTTCCCCTGAAAGCACATATGGTCTTTGCACAATCAATAAAACATTCGTAACTCATGGCTTTCAGCCAAGATCTCTCTGTCATCAGCAATGATAGCCTTCATTCAATGGCCTCTTCTGAATCCAGCCTGGATTTCTGTCAGTTCACTATGGATGTACAGCTACGGGTATTTTTTTTTTAAAGTACCTTCAGAAAATTCACCATGCATGTCATACTAATGACTTTACTTATCACAAGATGCTAAATTTGAAGATTGAGCCAAGGATATATTCTAAGTTGCAACTCCCTGTCTCTGCTGCCACAGTATTTTAGTGTACACAGACAACTCATAACTTATGAGCATGGCTGTGTCTCAAGGAAACTTTAGGGAAATAGGCAGCAGGCCAAATTTGGCCCTTGGGCTGCACTTGGCTGAGCTGTGGTCTCTATTTACAGCTTAGTCCCTGCTTCCTGGCAGGTAAACACATATCACTTCCCAGGGACGATACCTCTGCCTATCAGAGGAGAGGGTGGTACCCTCTTTTTGATCCCAAATACACCAGTCTTGGGAGGCTGCAGAACCCACAGTGGGTTAAGGAGATAGCACAACTTGCGAGGGCACTCAGGAATGATCAGCCAGCTATAGCCTGGACTGGGGTGAATTGAAAGATCACCCAGATAAAAGGAAGGCAAAGGAGTGTCCATCCGCCCTCAGACACACATCCACCTCTGCCTCTCTGTAGGATGCTTCCCCACCAAGTGTGGAGCTCGCTGCTGGAGGGAACAATCTCTGGCAGTCTCACCTTCAAGAGCTACATGACTGCCATACAGCTACCATTGCACTGACCCTGAATCATGTCAGTGTAGCACTGTGATCCCAGAGTCTCCCCAGAAACTCATCAATATCCTCAAGTGAAAAGAGATTGACACAGGGGACACTCGGTAGTTCCCAAGAAGCCAGCAACAAACAGCAGGCTTGGGAATGCAATGTGAGAGCATTTTCTTGGTTTGAGCAACACGCATAGGCATGGCTCTTCTTGTCAGCCTTTGCAGATATTACCTGTTTTACAAACAGAAGCCTTATGACAATCCAGGCTTCACAAGTCTATTGGCACCATTTTCCCCAACACTATGTGCTCACTTCTTGTCTCTCTGTCACATTTGGGTCCTTTTCACAATATGCCATGCTTTTTCGTCACACTTTTGCACCCTTAATAGACTACACTCTGGTGTTAATATATATGAATATATATATACTGAAAAATTTAAAAAAAAATCCTGTGACTTGCTGTATTGGGATACTGACTTTAACATGGTGGTTTAGAACAGAACCAGAAACATTTCCAAGGTGTGTCTGTCTGTTTCAGGTATAAGGAAATGACAGATTAGACAATGCTCTGGGTTTCTTTGCTTCTTAAGGGTGTATAAAGAGTGTTTCCTGCTGGCACTGAACCCCCCAAATTCTTACCATTGCAAGAGGGACAATGCCCACAAAGGTGGTCTGGCTGATGAAGATCTCGGAGACGACCAGCTCACTCAGGGTGTCCTCCACCGGGTACTCCACCTGCCAGGTGATCTGCTGGGCCCCAGCCAGGCTGCTGCTGTTGTCCACTCCAAAGTCCACTTGCAGGATCTCATAGATGGAGCCATTGGCCCTGGAAAAGAGACACACAAAGGGTGATGTAAAACTCCAGGCTCAGCAGGAGACTGTGGTGGACCATCAAGCTCCTGTGTTAACCTAACCAAAAGAACTTCTGCCAGGTCCAGGGGGTGCACTGTCGTGACTGCCCTCCAAAGCCTGGCCTCAGATGGGCTGGCAGGCTGCCGTCACTACCCAGTGCTGCTGTAATGCAACACCACAACCAATGGTGTCAACAGACATTAGCCTTCTCACAGTTTAGGAGGACATGCTGTAGCATTTCTCAGCATAGCAACCTGTATTGAAATGATGAACTCTGCTCTTGGTTCTTCTTTACTGGTCCTACCAAGGTCTCCCCTCTCTGCTCCATGTCCTATTCATTTCAATGCTAAAGGAAATTACAGGCTACACCCTAGGGAAACTCCTCTTACATTAGATCAGATGGTGATGGAATTAGGACGTTGCTTCTCCCTCTTAATCCTCTTAAAATTGCTCAGCTTATGCGATGATAGGGAATCTTTACATAACTTCCACATGACATCACTGCATGCATGTTTTGTTAGACCTGATTTAGTCCATGGCCCAGGTACCTCCAGGGCTCCGTGAAACAAAGCCAAATCTCCATGAATCAAGACACAATTGCACTATCATGCACAGCTCTCCCCTCTCATTCCATGTCTTCACCCACCATAAATGCAAGGCTCCCATTCCAGGATGCCCCCAAACTTCCCACCTGGTTCAGTGTGACTCCAGCTGTGTGGATCTCGGCTATCTCTAGCTCTACTTTGATTCACAGTGAGCTTTGGAATTCTGGGAGAAGAATCGTGGGACCAAACTCAGAAAGCCTAGCCAATGGTACAAAGAGGCTGGCAAATAACAGCCAGAAATGCACAGCTAGGAAAGAATAACATTGATGAATGGGACCTCCTAAAGATTATGTCCCTGTGTGCATCAAAAACTTTTTTCCAATAGGGTAAAAGAAAACCTACTGGCTGGGAGAAACCATTTGGCAATGCCATCTCAGACAAGGGTTTCATAACAGAAGTTTGCAGAGTCCTACAGGGCCTCCACAATAAAAAGACTGACAGCATAATTATAAAATGGGCCAACAAACACATGAAGAGATGCTCAAAATCACTGGCAATAAGAGAGATACAGACCAAAATAACAATGAGATACCATCTCACCCCAGTAGCAATGGTAAAGTTTAACAAGACAGCAAGCAATACATATTGAAGAGGATGTGGTGAGATAAGAACACTTCTACATTATTGGCGGGACAGTAAAATGGTCTAACCACTCTGGAAGGCAGTTTGGTGCTTCTTCAAAAAGTGGAATATAGATATTCCATATGACCCAGGTATTCCATGCTAGGAATATATGCCAAGGAAAACAGAACTGAGATACAAATGGAGATTTGTACACCAATGTTTGTAGCAGCATTATTCATAATAGCAAGAAAATGGAAACAACCAAGATATCCATCAACAAATGAATGTATTGAGAAACTGTGGTACATTCACATGATGGAATACTATGCAGCACTCGGGAGCAAGAATTTTGAAAAATACTATAGAACATGGGAGAGGCTGGAGGGCATTATATTATGCTCTATGAAACTAATTCAGTCTCTTAAAGACAAATACTGCATAAGACCATTACTATAAAAATAGAAAGAGGTGTCCAAACGGAGGAAAGGGAGGGAATAAAGAGGTGGGCATGGAGATGGGGAAATCTTGAGGGCCCAGAGCTTGGAAAGCAGAGCAAGGGGGTGAATCAATGAGGAAAAAAATCCAGTGGGAACCTGGAAAGATGGGATAATGAAGATAAATTTTATAACACACGCTGCATGGGAATGATAATACGAAGTACAATGTGAATAGAGGAATGAATAAAACACAATATACATAAATAAAACACAACGTATATGACTTTTACATGCAAAGCAACATAAAATTTTTAAATACAGCAATGACTTCATGAGCTTGAGGAAACACCATGACACTAAGAACAGAAAAGGACTTCAGGAATGACCAAGAGTGACATTATGGGGTGCTGGAGATGATCTTCATTTCAGTAGCTTGAATCTAAGAAAATCAATCCCACATGTGTGAATTCACAGAGTGGCATGGCTGAATGTGTGTCTGGGGAAGGTGGCTGGGACATATATCAGGGGAAAAGACAAGTGCAATTGCCAATATTTTTATGTATGACTCTCACTGCTGTTGGGAAGGATTTGTAAACTGTGGGCCAGCTATCACACAGGCATGGGAAGTGACTGAACAGAGAATTAAAAATCCATCTGGCTCCGATTTACAAATGTCTCCAGCTCTTGGAGGGCTCCCTGGGCACATAGCAGGTTAGGTGTTTGACTGTTATCGAAAGTGGACCCAAACTCACCAGCTGCTCCCCAAGAGAAAGATGAAGCTGTCCTTCCTGCTAAGATTTACGGCCTCAGGAACCCCAAAGAAGGGTGCCATGACTTAGAATCAGCCCAACGACTGTCCAGTTCTGTACGCTTGTTTGTAATCTCGAGTGCAGCCACTGCCGGACCCCAGGATAAGTCATCACTGATAGACTCAGAAGCTTTCTGGGCCTGACTCACACAGTCTAGCCTGTCCATTCACTGCCTGGAAGAAGACAGCCTCCTAGGACGTGAGTATCATCTGCTCATGTCCCCAGCATGAAGCCTGTGGCTTGACCAGCTCCTTTCTGGTCTCCTTAAGATTTCTACAGGAACTGGGGCAGAAGGGTAAGTGCTCAGTCACTAGCCAAAATGTTTGGCAGTTTGGACCCACCTCTATTATTTCAAATTGACTCCGCAGCACTCAACAAGAATGGGGACCCAAACTGGACCCCTTACCTTCCATATGCTAAGAGGCACCAGGGCGGCACTCAGCACCAGGCATGGAATTGATGAAACTGAACAGCAGGCCAGCCCGGCATTAAACACCGCCCCAGAATAGAACTCCAGTCCGCTCAGAACAGAACCAGCCACTGGTCACGCCCAACCCTCTTCCCACCCGTGAAGACTTCACAAAGCTTTGGGAATGCTACATCGTCCAACAAGGTGCTTGTTGGTGTGCTGTCAACACGTATGAAACTTGGGGCTGCTAGCCAAAATGTCAGTAGTTCAAATGCACTACCCACTCCTCAGGACAAAGAAGCAGTCTGCTTCTAGAAAGATTTACAGCCTTGGAAATCACACGAGACAGATCTACTCTGCGCCTTGGGGCCACCACAGGGCAGCAGGGCTGCACTGTGAACTCCCGAAGGGGTTTCAGGAACCGTTTCTTGCTCCAATTGTACAGTCCCAGGCCCACACTCTCAGTCAGGAATGACCATGTGCCCATCAGCATGTCTCCTCCCAAGGTACCCCCGCCATCAAAACACACCTCCTTTCTGGACTCCTCTCTGGACCCGAGCGGGGCCCTCAGCAGGACTCAGAGATGCTCATGCTGGCCGTGAGCACACAGTTCGAAAGGACACGGAGCAGAAGACTCATCTTCCGGCCACTTTGCCCTGCTAACCTCCACTCAGGTCCAGGAGCAGAAAGAAAATGTCACCCTTTAAGCGAGGGGACAAAGTCCATGTGAGAGGTCCTGCCCGTGTGGCCTTCCCGCATCTCTCTGACCCCTGCCCCAAGCCCATGAGCCCACTGGCCAAGACACCCAGCGACGTCCACATGCTGGTGGGAGAGTGGTCATACCAGGGTGACCTTCATGCCCAAGTGTTTAAGTTGTTTCCCTTAAGCCCGAGGAAGGAAGTCACGCTTTCAGGTAGCTGGCAAGCTTGCTAACAGCCCATTTCTATGGAAATGGGTTCGTAAATGTTAGTCCTACCTGCCCCAATCTGGCCCTTCTGATTTCCTGAAGTTCCTCAGGACTCCCTCCTTTTAATAACTGCCAACTTTGGTGAGGACTCAGACCCGGGTTTCAGCCCCAGGTTGCTCCCAGGACGCCTTCTCTGGGATAGGAGTGCGGGTGCGGGTGTGGGGGGCTGTGTGCACAAATGTGTGCATGTGTGGGAATGCACACTCATCCCCCGATGGGGTCAGTCCGGCCGCGACCACACCACTTGGCTGCTCCCCCTCAAGGCGAAGCACAGCCTCCTCCCCACACGCCTGCTTCCCAGCAGCCCTGTCTCCTGTGGAAACATCTCTAGTAACAGCGGGGCTCCTTCCCCGCCAGGGCCTCCCCGAGAGGTGGGGCTGACATGACTGCCAGGGTGGCTGCCCTCACACAGTCAGCAAGAGGGAGTGGCAACAGACCAACCACGGAGGGACTGACACCCCCCCCTCCCCCAGTCCAGAGACTCAGCCCTGGTTTCTCAGGGGTCACTGGGGGAACAATAATGGTCACTCCTCTGGCGGCTGGAGAGAGCGTCTGAGAGAGGCACCACAGAAGGTTACATCACTTGCACAGATTCTTTTTTCTCATCATTCTAGATGGTTCTGAGCTACCAGGCTGAGCGGCTGACACTTGCCTGACTCTGATATTCCTGCAAACTGGCGAGGGCTGCTCTGGTCTCTGCACCTGCTTTCTGTAAAGTGCCTTCCTTCTGGGCATTAACTTCAAAGGTGACCAGAAAGCGAGGTCAACAGTGCCTGAGGCCCACACTGGCCGCAGGCCCCGGAGTGGGATTCACTGGCTGCTCTCAGACGCAGCTCCTGACTCCCCTCCAGACGACTAAGCCCACTGGGACAAAGGCACGTCTGTATTGTCCCCCCTCTGTCTGCGGCGGCTGGCACGGGGCCTGGCGAATGGTCGGAATTCAACCGCCATTTGTTCAATTCATTGAACGTACTCAAAAGGCCCAGTAGGACAGCCCGTGAAATGCTGAAGGATGTCATTTGCATTCTGCGAGACAAGGAGGGACCAGTTCCGAGTCCTGGGCTCTGTTCTCATGCCTGGCTGTTATATGTGCGGGCAGACGTCAGGGATAACGTAGTTCCGTTCAAGACCACTACAAGAAAGTGGACACCGCTGCAGTGAAGTGAGGCCGACCAATCGCTTT